CAAAGCCTGATTTACTGTGGATGGTGATGATAGAAAAACTTTCTGACTATGGAAGTGTGTGTGTGTGTCTTTCTGTTGGAAAGGATGGGCCTCTTAAACTAAGTTCATATTGCAGTTATCAGTGATCGTCTCATGTTAATGTCCCAGGTTGTATAGTCTCCCTTGCAGGCAAAAAGTTAGTACAAGCTATAAACACATATCGGCAATGGTTTGTCTTCAATTGAAGTCAATGGGAACTTTGCCATTGACTTCAGTATGAGCAGCAGAAGGTCCACAGGCAGGAAAAAGGACCTCTAAATGAGATGAGAATCTTTCTGAAGTAATGAGAGCTGCAAAGAAATTCTATCAAAGGCCAAAACTCCCACTTACTTCAAGAGGAGCAAGACACGACCCTATATGTTATGTATTTCTCTCCTTCTCTTCTTGTATGCCTGTCTTTCTAGAAGCTCATTCACTGTTAATCTATCAAGATATATATCCATTGTGGTTTATAGAGTACTGTAAGTACATTCTTATGTGTTTCTTATTTTGCAGTGAATAGGTTGAGAAAATAATTCTTACTATTGTTGATTAGGAAACCCTTGTCCTCATACTAAAAGCTAAAAAAAAAATACTGAAGAAAAACTTGTGGTTTCAAGAATGAAATTAGTCATGTTCCAATTATTTAAGCTCAGATACTGTTATATAATATTCACTCTATAACACTTTTAGCCAATTGTGATTGGTAAAACTGAATATATAGATCTCTTTACAACAAACCTGCCTGCCCATTTTGCCAAATTATCCAACAAAGTCCTTAAAAGACTTCATTGTTTTTCTAAAGTAAATTTTTCATTAAAGAAACTTAAATATTCAAGACACATACAGAAAAAGTTTTCAAAACAATATTCAGTTTATGTGTGCTATGCCACATTACACAGGTGACTATCCTTTTTCAACAGAGATCAAATTTCTGTAAGTTATTTAACAGATTCTGCACCCCCTTAAATGAAAAAAGATTTGGCATCAATGTCCAGTTTTGCAGAGATTTTGGGATGTAACACTAACCTAACAGTTCTAGTTCACAGCACTAGCACGTGAAACTCACCACTCTCAAATGGCTAATGGATGTTTATAAAGATTCTATATATACCATATCTTTTCTACCCAGATTTCATTAAAAAGAAGCTGCTTAAAATAAAATGTAATTTTGTTTCTTTAGCACCTAAACTTCCTGAACAGAACATACCAAAGTATCCCATGATAACAAAACTAGAAGTTCAGTGTAAAGATTTTTAGATTGTATTTTAGGCAGCTACTTTAAAACTTAATACTTAGGAACTGATTCTGCTCCTAGTGAAGTTATTGGGAGCTTTGCCATTGCCTCTAATGACAGCAGGACCAAGCACTCAACTAGCAAATCTTCCAAAAACAAAGCTAATATTCTTATAATCCTAAGGTTACCATTTTATATTATGGAACATTTTCTGTAAGTCACAGAACACCTTCAGTTATGAAAATAAACCACAATTGGATGTCAGTGCACTGGACAACATTACCCAGGCAGAACAGCATTTTTGGAACGTATTAATTCAGATCAGACGATTGAACCATTAAGCAAAATATATTTTAATGGGTACAAAGGCCAAGATAGTGCAAAGTGGCACTTATATAACTTTTTTGAAAAATAATTTTGCATGTATAGTTAGAAGTGCCAGCAATGTTGGACAATCAGTTTTTAAACAGGATACTTATCTCCTTCCCAGTACATACATTTCATTAATACACATTTACCATGTTGCCTTTGCTGCTAGAATGTTTTATGTCTGTATGTCACCATTCAGGGCCCAAACCAGTTCCCTTAACAAAATAAAACTGAAATTAAGGTTAAGACTGCAGAATTTGGTCCATAACATTACTAGGAAAGTTCAGTCTAACCCCTGAAGAGCTCCTTCTCAGACGTTAGTTTCAGGAATGCTGCTGTTTTCTCAACAGCTCATTAGACCCCCAAATAATGGAAGCAAAACACACTAATAATTTAGTTAACTTCTTATTATCTTTTCAGCAACTTCAACATTTTATTAAGTATAGACTATTAATGAAGAGCACAGGAATAGCTTTGATTTACATAATGAAGTGAAATGTTTATTTGGGGCTGATTTTTGTGTGTATAGTTTGTTTGTGAAGCAACTCGCTTTATAAAAAAAAAAGTTAGGTAGAAAAACAAGTCTGTAAGCAAAACCTCCATTTGAACTCAATTCCCACCCACATAATCTGAAAGACATTTTTGATGTAAAGCACAATGCTTTGTGATATTTTTGAACTATGTATTAATGGGCCATCACCTCATCCATAAAAGAAGAGATAGCTGCACAGTGTGGTTCCATATCTAGTTTAGTTTAAGATCAAGTTTAAGGAAATCTGGCTGGGAATAGACCTAGTTCTCTACCCAGTTCACAAACTTCCTCCGCACATTTAAGCACTTTTCAGTGACTGGCACATGAAAAAGCATGTAGGTCTTGTAATTGCATCAAATAATTTGCAGGCAGTCCAACGTGGCCTTGCTAGCTGAAGCATTTGCGGGTCCCTTCGCTCCCCAATAGGCACAAAGTGCAAAGAAAAAAAAATAAATTTAAACTCTTTTAAAGAACGAACAGCACATCGGGGATTTAGTTGAAGGGTATTATAATTTGTCTTTCGGCTGCAGTGGAACCCCGTTGTCAGCAGGGGGCGCTCTTGCATGAAGCAAAACAAGACTAACGTTGTTCCACTGACTATAAACTCAAGGGCCCGTTCAATAGCGCTTACAGTACGTCTGAAGTGGTAGCTACTAAACAGTAAGACTGTCAATAAATCGTACAAGCTTTGAACATGTTGTGAGTCATAATATAAAAATAATCCTTATAGCCTATATTGCAGATTATTAATTTGTTGGATTTTTCCGGGGGGGGGGGGGGGTGGCGAGGGCAGGAGGCACAAACCTGAGCATCCCTAAATCCAACCCCCCTCTGATTAAATGCATTTATCCATAGATTTTCATGGGGTTTTTTTCACTCCCCAAAATCTGCATGCTGGTTTGGACTGGTAACATTTGCTGTAGCAGATAGGCAAGGGCGGTGTCTTGTAATGCCAAAGAGGAGAACAAGTCCTTAATAGGTTTACAATGCACACAAAGAACAGCAGGAGATTTTGGGGGTGGAGTGGGGGATGGGGAGTACAGTTGGTTGATCACCGGTCGGGGAGTACCAGCCATTGCACAATGTAGCCGATGAGAAATAATCAGACATTTCTCCCCCAACCCCCAAGCTTATTACCACAATCTTCAGGAGAGAGAGAGGGGGTAAAAAAACTAAATACTCACCATATTGACTTCTGATACCATGTCTATGCTGGCAATGTCTATGTTCATGCCAACAGCCACTGGGGGACCTGCAAACCAACGAGATGGTCCGCAATGTGATCTCTAAGAACTTAACTCATTCTTACCAGAGTTATCAAGACTAATCAAAGGGCGATATGGCACGAGTGTTGGTAACAACAAAACAGGCTCTCCTTTGATACCTGGAAAACCCTCCGTTTGCAGAGTATTCACCCTTTGCCTCCGCCGTCAGCTGTAGGGACATTTTATGTAACATGCACACACGTGTTAATAACGGGGGCTCTATAGACACTGGCTATATAGATAGACACACACAAATCGATTATTGTATGAACCAGTTCGAATCGGTACGTGGGGGAGGGGGAGAAAAGATTGGACTGCACATTTTAACTCTTTCTACTCGACACATGCGACATGCAAACTGAGAAAAAAGAATCTCACCTGAGATTCAAATGATTTATACCCGGCTCTTAAGATTGCTTTCTGGATTAGTACACACACATTCACGCACACAACTAGTTCAAAGTTGCAGTAAACACTGGGTTAAGTGACATTTTCTGTATCAGTTAACAGCATATCTTGTACTCAAAAATAGTAACTGTGGTCACAGACACATTAGGCTTACTAGAACAAACGCTGGATAAACTTAAGAGATTTGCATCTCAATAAAGCCAATTAACCGAGGGTTTAATTATGGGGTAATAAGTTATCCGCACACACTCTCACAAATGAGACCAATTACAAATATACAGGAGATTTCAATGATCACATTAAGAGCATCCAGTGCTAAGAAAATTGAGTAACAATTGGCTTAACTTTGGGTCAGCTTGAGAAAATGGCAACATACACACCAAAGCAGCAGCACCCACAACACGTTGAAAAACACACACAGAGGATACACAGCCTGGGTATGTAACAGCTCTCATTCAAAAAGCAATCAAATTACCTCCAAAATCTGGCCTCAGGCGAATGTCATAGCCTTTCAGGAGTCTATCCACGGTCTCTTTTACCAGCGACATATTGCTAGGGTCATTGACACTAAAAAACAATAATACATATTTCTTATTTCTCAGATCCAATCTCCCCATTCGGGGAACAGTGGCAAACAGGGCAAATCAAAGTGAAGGAAAAGAGATGTCTCGCTCACTTACCTCTGTGCACACACCATTGCTATTATTAAGAAGAATGACCAAATCCCAAAGTAGCCCCTTTTCCGGACTCTCAACATCCCTTTAGCTTTTGATATGATTTAGGGTTTCAGTGAAGAGGAGAAGAGATCCAACTTATTCTGGCCAGTGCAGTAATTCTAATGTGAGGCGCATGCGCACGGCGTACCACAACATCAAAAGGAGCAGTGGTTGCTGCTGGAGATGGAGCAAATTTCCTTGACCCAAAAAAAAAAAATTAAAGGGGAAGAAGGAAATGCATTATTTTTAAAAAGTCATCCCACAGGAGGATCAAGTGTATTTTTTGTCTTTTTGTCAATATATTACAATCTAATATAAACTGCAGAAAGCAGGGAAGTTTCAGGAGTTGCAGGGTACAGCAGTTTTGCAACCCAGCTTAAAGGGGGGCGGGCATGTGCAGGATCCGATCAGAAACAGAGGGGAAAAGAGGTTTAAAAGAAACTGGGGATGCAAATCGTGCATACCGTGCGAGAGGCAGACGCGGGGGGTAGCTTAACTTTACGCTCCCCGGAAACATCAGTCTACGTGGAGAAAGGTGAGGGGCAGAAAAAGGGACCTAGATTTGCAAGGCGGGGGGAAGGGGGGAGAGGGAGAGGGTTGAGCCTATGGTAATCTTCCTGGGGGAAAATGAAATGATGACGAACCAGGTTCTTGTAAGAAGGGATTCGGATGTTTCCTACTCTCCTGGCAGGAGCTGTTCCTAGGTCAGAGGAATTGGGGAGGGGAGAGAGGGACTCGCTTTATGACGTTACCAGCCAGGCAATTCTCGAGATTATTTATAACATTAAAAGGGTGGCAATTACAACGAACGTCTCCCTTTTATGTTTCCATTGTATTTTAGCGTGGCTCCTAAAGCGTACAGCAATGGCTGGCAAGGATGGGCAAGTGTGGGGAGGCTGGGGGGAGGGGATCATGCTATTTTTCCCTTTAGCAGGGAATGCAAATTCCTCAGGTAGATTTAGCCCTGGCTACGGAATGGGGTCGGGGAGCGGGATACCCTGCAAAGAAAACTGGGCTTTTAGTGACCATTCCATACCCGGTGCATTTCCACTCACAGACCCTCCTTACCTTTCTGAGTAAAACACCAGAGCTGCTGAAATGCAGTGTTGGGCCGAATTAATGCTTCAGAAGAAAGCAGAGACGAGCAGAAAACTGATTTGAGGATGTTTTGAGTGACATTTAAATCCTGAGCAGAAGAGAGAGAGGGAGGAGGGAAGGGGGGGGGAAGAGAGGACTTAAATTATTCCTTGCAAATCTGCCCGCTGCTGTAGCTCCTTTTACACCTCCTCCTCCTCCAAATACCCATTTGGACCCGTGGATCTGTGTTGCTTCATTGAACGGATCTGGGGTGTGCACGCGTCCTCGCCTTGCCTGGATTGCACACGGAAGGGAATTAGGCAGAGCCACTTAATTCCTCAATTCACAAAAGCAATATTTAATTCGCTGCAAGGGGAAGGAAGGCAGCGAGGGAGGGAGGAGGAAGGCAACAAGGGTGAGTGTTGCACAGAGAGAGAGAGAGAGATGTGAACCGTGGCTAAGGAAGAGACGCTTTGAAAGCCTCCGATTTCCCCTCAATAAACGTTTAGTCATTCCACTCACAGCAAACGACTCCAGGCCTGCTAAATCCCCCCTCCCCCCAAGGGGAATGGTTTAAAACCTCATGCCCCCCTTCTCCACAGCCAAAGCCCGTTGCCTGGTGAAAGGCCATTTCACATGCATGCATATCACGGTCACCAAACAAACAAACCCCTCCGATCGCCTGGACAAGGGATTTTTTTTAGACGTATGGATATATTTTATAAACTGAAGCAAGAGGTAGCTGAGCCCCGCGTGAAGAGGCAGAGCACAGTCCCCGGCCTCCCTGGGCATGCACTGCATTTAAAAACCAAACCCACTGGCTGGCTGGAGGTGCAGCAGTGAGAATAGCAGAGCTGCGGCTGCAGCGTGCGCCAGCCAGCTATAGCCAAACTGGAGTGGCCCCCAGACCCGGCTAGGTCCACGTGACGCCAGGCAACATGCGAATCCCGGCAGTGGGTCCCGGTAGCACGGGTTGCTCTTGGCAGATTTCTGGGAGGGGAGCCTCGCTCCTTCCCCCAAACCAACTGGGGCACGAGCGAGAAGGACTGGGTGGGAGCTCGGGGAAGAGCCCCCGAGCAAATAAGATGCATGGGAAGAGGGTGCAACTGAGGTGGCATGGTATGGGAAATGGGTGCAGTTGAGGAGAGGGATTAGAGGCAGTGAGTGCAGCTGTCCGAGGAAACAATGGCAAGGGGATACAGGAAGGCGCATGGGAAGGGGGTGCACATGAGGAGGGGCATGGACCTGGAGTGCAAATAAACTGGCCTTGATTGCAGGCAGACTGTAAAAGCAGAGATACTATGTGGGAGAAGGGGTGCAGTTTAGGAGACCTCGAAGAAAGAGCAAGGATGCAAAGGAGGAAAAGCTGAATACATGGGACATAGATGTAAAGCCCAGCATCCATTTAACAAAATTCTGCAGGTATGTTTAAAAAAAATGCAATCAAAGTTCATATATTGAAGGTTAGTGAGTGGGAAGGATCAGAGTCAAATCTTGTAGGGGGTCAAAATGTCTTCCACCTGCCCTTCAAAATATTCCTTAGGTAACACAGATACCAGTTTACCACAGTCTAGTGCATTCCACAGGCAACACATGCAGATCTACCTGTCTGCTACACTCTCACAGTAAATCATATTTATAGGAAATAGGTAGGGTTGAGCAGCCTACCACCACAACCCTCAAATGTCATCCCCAACAAAGTAAGCCTTTTTATGAGATCTGTGTATTTATTTGGTTTTGGTTCCTCTGAAAAATATTAGACTCAAATTATTTTTGAAGGGCCAGAGTAGGGAAAAAAGAGGTAATATGCTTGCTAAGAGGACTGAGACTCTTTTCTATTATGGCAGTTGGAGTTATGGTATAAGGAGAATTCATACATATGAAGGCTACAAGGCTAACAGGCTAGAAGAGTTTTCAGGAGCTCTGAAATGTCTTATTTATGTATTCTAAAAATAATCACGCTTGAGTAAAAAAAAATTTTAGCAATTTGTCACACTGCAATGCCCCTTTTTTTTGCTGTTCAAGATTGAGAAATAGGATTTTTTTAGGGCATGATGGATGCTATGTTAACCAACGAAGGTATCTGTTCTCTCACAGCTGGGATGCTTCACTTTCAAAGCACTTGAAAAATGGCCCTCAAAGCAGGTGGTGGACATTCATTTGTACAATTAATCCTGTATTGTTAAGATATATGTATGATATGCATTTCTTTTTTTCTGCAACCACATGATAAAACCTGCAGTCTGGTAGTAAAAGGCATTGATTGTGCACTTTTGTCCTCACCCATAAGGATTTACGTTGGAACCGCATCTGACATTTCAAATTCCTAAGTTATTTTCAGCTCTCTGATATTACTATTATATTGAACTGCTATTAAAATATTTCTTTCTTTCCCGATAAAATGTGAATCAGATAAAAAGAAAGATCTAAGGTCCAGGGTTAGCAATATTCAGTGCTGGATTAGGGAAAGATTTATAGTCTAATATCATGTGACATCAGGGCTAGAAACAAAGGAGTCAAGACATATACAGAAGTGAATATAGTTCTATACGGCAATGTAGATAGCATTTGTACTCAGCTTTGGCATTTGAATAGATAACAGTTCAAAATAGTGACATCCTTACACAAACTTTTCTATTTTGTTTATGAATGTATTTATTATAAATATCAATTTTAAAACTGTGATACAAAACTGTATATAAAAATAATGTAGGGACAAGCAACTAAAAACAAACACTTTACAAAAACAGAAGCTACTTAAGTTTATTTTAAAATCTAAGAACCTGATGACACCATACAGTAACCAGGGGCACAAGATCCCTATGTTCACACTGACTTCAGTGGAAGTTGAGGGTGCACTGTACCTCTTGGGATCAGGCCCTAAAGCAAGTTGGCCTTTCTATTGATGTAGAAACTGCATTGTGATGGCCACCTCCTCCTCATATGCAGACATCAGAGCTCGATGTCCAGGTTCCATATCCAGAAGATAAGATCTGTATCAAGGGAGACTAAGCATTATAAACTGCCATCCAGATGTGCCCCACAGTCACATGAATAGGAAACCCAGCCAGTCAGGTGCATAGTTGTGGCTACTCTGGACAATCCAGACAGTAGCCTGTTGAGCTAATCGGGGGCACCCCGAAACAGCTGTTTGGCCACACCACCAAACAGCTGATCAGCAGCCGCCGCCAAACAGCTGTTTGGCGACTCCAGGAGGGGTTGGGGGAGGTTGGAGAGCAGCGGAGTGTGGGCAGGGGCCTTGGGGAGGGGAAGGAGTGCAGACAGGAAGAGGCAGAGTGAGGCTGGGGCTTTGGGGAGGGGGTGGGGCAAGGGCGAGGCCTCGGGGAAGGGGCAGAGTGAGGGCAGGGCCTTGGGGTGGAGCACCCCTGGGGAAAACTAGAAGTTGGTGTCTATGCTGCACTAATAATATGAGTGGCCAAATTCAGCTCCATGTTGACAAGCTGAGTATGGTGACTGCACCCCCAGACCATAGATCACTATTCAGCTAGAGCAAACATGAGGGTCACTACAGATGTAGGATTTGCTCCCCAGGAGATTCCTGATAGTTTTTGTATCAAGGTGGAACAGGAAGAGATATTATTTTCAGATGCTCATTTTCAAGTGAGGCAGTACATCAGACTATGGTTGAGTTTTGCTCCTGACAGTTTTTGCAGTGACAACTGGTTGGAATGGCAGCAACCATCCCTGTGCACAGATCAAGATGGGTCAGTTGGCAAGATTGTTGTTTAGATTGAAAGTAGTTGCAACTGTCTTGGTTTCACTAAGAATTAGTGGAAATAAGTGATCAAAATGTCCATCCCTTGACTGAAATTCACTTCAATCCTATAGTTTCCTGTGTCAGCAATACAGACATCAGCAGCATACACATACTTCTCAGCCCACGTTCCAGGAAGGTCATATGTTTACATATTGAACAAAAAGGGGAACCAAAATTGACCCTTGTGGAAGCCCTTTGCAGAGATGTTTAAGGTGACTGATTTTCTGCCCCACTTGCAGGATGTAACTTCGGTTAACAATCATTTCTCAGATGAATCACACCTTCGGCCAATATGGAATAATTTTCAACAGCAGCTTGTCAGTCAGCCTGATGTGCCACAGAATGTCATAGGTTGACATCACGTCAATAAGGGCTGCACCAACTTTCTTTCCTGAGTCAAATGGTTTTCTATGTCTTGAGTCAGACAGAGTGCCTGATCTTGGGTGCATAGTCCCTTCCTGAATCCATCTTGAATGCAAGACAGCTGAGGATCGACTACCTACTTGTGCAAGCACTTGGATTGGCAGGAGTTAGTCCTACTCAACTGATGTGGTTAAGGTCTGGCATCTCATAATTCTGCAAACTTTATACCATAGTGGAGACCACCAGATTGCCAGACTTCTGGAAAGACCTGAGATATTGGACTTTAAAAGCATGACAATTTTGTGTATAAACAAGGT